GAAGAGGAAATAAAAAGCAACTTTCACAGAAATTCACAGTGAGTTACTTGATCTTGCTTAATTTCAGTCTGTTTCTTTAGAACTGTTTTCCATAAATGAAGATCCTGCATCTAAGAAATATGCACACAAAGATCCATCTTCTGAGAGCTTGGAGGTCTCCCTGATCTACACCAAAGGCCAGGAAAACACAAATGGAGAAAATAACCCTCACTAAAGGTCTGATTTCCATCTGTGCTTCATATCCAGCAAAATGCATGTTCACAAGATCCCAAGGACCAATACTGTATACTGACATCTGCATACAGAGCCACACTTCGGCTTCTCATTCATACATTTTAGTCACTCCTTGCACTAAAAAATATTATGGCTTTACATGCTTTTATTGACACAGGGTTGACATCAATGTGAGACCTCAAATGGCATGCCAACAACAGATCATTCAGAATACAAAATTACCAGCTAAAGTCCTTAAAACCAACGAGCAAAGATTCAACAAAACAGAATTCTAGAATGAGAAAGAGCTTTAAGAAATCATCCAGGTCAGCATACGGCATGTTTCAAAAATAGCGCCCAAACTAGTTGCAATAGCGTGTGACTGTCATACTGGCACTCTGGGAGACTGAGGCAGGAGAACTGCAAATTCCAGCCCAGCCTGGGCAACTTGAGTCCCTGTCTCAAAATTTTTTTAAAAAACTGCTAGGGATATAGCTCAGTGAGAAGGCCCTAAGTTCAGTCCTTAATACCACAAAAAAGAAAGAATAAAAAAGAAAAAAGTGCTTGAAAGATGGATATTTGTGTAATGGCAACAGTCCTTTATAGAGTGAACTTAAAAGAAAGTGATTTTCTTTGCTACTGAGCTTAAGGTGAATGCATGTCTGTCTGTAGATAAGCATAACTTCAGAAAGTTTATACAATTAAGATTTTCCAACCCTCTTAAACTGCCCTTGTTACAAACTTGAATTTACAGCAATTAATTCTCTTCTTTTGACTTCATACAGAAGAGTGTAACAGTTACTCAAACAGAAGAGCCTTTTTAATGCCTTTTCTTTTTTATTTTTATTTAAAAGAAAAAGTTTGCTATAAATGGGTCCACATATCTGTAGGAAAATACTAAGGGGACATACTTTACATGATCATAGGATAATAAAGGCAAAGAGAATTTTGTACAGGACATGGGAAATGGATTGCCAAGAAATTATGTGAAACATCTCTGTCTCTTAAATTTAGGAAAATATCAAACAGAACATCTCTATGGAGATATCAAACTCTTTAAAGAAGAATCAAAGTAAAATCTCATGAATTTGGGTCATACTAATTCAGAATAAAAGATAATTCAAACCAAAAAGTTAAATTTACTTTTATACTGACAATTCTCTTTTAAAATTCAGTACCAGCAGAAAATGGGAAAATTGATTTCAGCACTTCAGCAGCACTGACTTACCTACAAATGAATATCATATTATAATTTTTGTACATTTATGGAAAAATGCATGAAATTGGTCAATATCAGTAATTTGTTAGCTCCAAATATAGTATGTAGGGGAGCAGAGAAATGAGTCTCAGGCAGACCAGATTCTAACACTTCGTGGGCCATTCACTTACTGTGGAAAGTTGGGAGAATCACTCTCTCTCCAAGTCTCTGTGGCTTCTCTGTAAAAGGCCACCTTACTTATATTCCACACAAGGATGAGAGCCCTTCTGAGCCCTCTGCCCTTCAGCTCCTGATGCAAGCTTTGTGTGAGTAACTAAAGCGTATTTCTTTTAAATCTCTTCTCTAGTTCAAATTTCATACTAGCTCAGATTTACCTTCCTACTGATTAATTACAATGAGTAATACTTTCTTGTACGACACAAACATCTTTCAGGCTACAATCTGAAACATATGTTGACCAGAGAAATATGTTCATCCTCAGTGCTCTGAGCGCAGACTAGAAACCAAACAACGTTTGAGAATGACAGTGTGCATTCTTCTCATGTTTCTTTCTGTGTCAGTGTCTGCCACTTGGAACCTAGCAGTCTCAACACTCATAGAAGGATGCTGCTTGTTATTACTACTGGTCTGTCCCTCTTGCTATTTCATAACCAACTTGTAATATATACCTGGTGTTATAGTTTAAATATGAAATATCACCCCAAAAATTCATGTATTGAGGGTTTAGACCCAATATACACTGGTAGGGCTTTTGGAAGGTGACTGGACCACGGGCTGGAGAAATTCATCAGTGATTTAATGCATGATGAGTTCATAGCCGAACATGTGATTAGCAGGTAGATGAAGGAGGTGGTTCATGAGGGCATGACCTACAAGGGTGGATTCTTAACCCTGCCTCTTGCCCTGCTCTATGCTTCCTGGCTGCCATGAGCTGGGCAGATTTACTCCATCAAACCCTTCCACTGTGATGTTTCTTCTATAGAGCCGGATGCCCATGGACTAAAACCTATGAGATCACAACCACAATAAACCTTTCCATGTATCTCAGCGATTTCTCACAGCTATGGAAGGCTAATATACTAGAGAAACTTCTTAGTGACTCAGCTCTTAGATAAATAACTCAAGTGAAACCTTATGCTTAAAAATCTCATACCACTAAGACATACTGTAGGTTAGACCGTGTTTCTTATCCTCATTCAAAACTGGATGCCATAAAATTGCTGTGATTTCTCAGGGAGGAGAACCTCTTCATCTAATGACTTAAGATGTGAATAGAAAAAAGAAGAAAATAATATGGGATTTAAGTCACCCAAAATGCTTCTGGAATCAAGTTACTAAATAAATTTGTTCACGGCATGGCTTGGGGATAAACCTTCATCTCTCTGTGCATCACCTTCTTTAGCTATAAGGTAGCACACTTATCCCCAATTCACAATGACATTGTAGGGAGTAAATGAAGTAATGAATAAAATCATATTTTACACATTACTTGGCACAAAGGAAATATTTGTAAAGGGTACTTTTTTCATATGGAAATCCAAAACTGCAAGGAATATAAAATTATCCACCTTTACTTATCAGTATACAAGGAATGAGTCTCAACTAAGGCCTTTGTAAGCAGAACAACATTTTCTACAAATTTTCATTTTTATAAAAAAAATACTTGTAAAGCACAGGGTTAAGAAAGCAAGGTTCTGCACTGTTTTTACCCCTGGGTGTTGCTTTCATCCCTTCAGCTTGGTGTCTGCCCCCTAAAATCTTGCCTTGGTGTCCCCCACTGTGTCTGGCAGTCTTCTCATGTAGTGTGTCCATGTGACTATCTGTTGATCCAAATTTATCCTAAAATTCTTCTGTCTATCAAGATTTAGATTTTTAGATAACATGTTACTTAGATACAGAACAGTAAGTTCCCATGATCCAAGATGGGGCAGGAGATCAGAGACTGAACAAGGAAAATACTTGACATCTATGAATTCTAACTGTGGTATTTATGTTTCCTGTTAGAATATCTTCTAACTATAGCATTTATGTTCTTCTGTAAAATACACTTGTCCCCAAACCAGAAAAAAGGATAGTATTCTGAAGGCATACTAGAGGTTTCCTGTCTGGTCTCCTTGACTCTCAGTGTGCACTCCATTTGCCGGTGATAAAAAGGCTAACACTAAATTACTACAGAATTCTGAGCAACCGACCACTTTACAGAGTCATGCAACCCATATCTTCCCTTGGCCTTTCAAGTACCCACTTCTGCGGAAAAAGCTTCTGCCCTCAGCCAAACAAGTACCCGTTCTTTTTCAAGTACCATCAAAACTCATATTAATGAAATTTTGATGATATTTGAAGGCTATTCATTGATTCAGTATAGATTTGTTTCACTGTCACATGCCAGGCAATGTTCTAGGGGATGCAGATGATGGCAATGTGAACAAAACACACCCTGCCACAACACACACCCACAACATACACCTCCCTCTTATACTGTACATTTTAGAAGAGAGGGACAAATGGTAAACAAAAAATACACAATGATTGATAGTGAGAAGAGTTTAAAGAAAAAAATAGGAAAGAGGAACTGAGAGAGTAGAGGGTAAGTGAGTTCTTGAAAATGACAAGGTCACAGGAAAAAATAGTGACAAATCTGGCCCTCTGTACATATGGTGACCCCATCAAGGTTATAGTAATTATTATTATTATTTCCATTAACAATCTATTAAGGAAGTGTACCAAATAAACTAGCATACAAAGACTAAACAGAAGGTAGGATAACAATAATAATTAACACATATTGATCAACAGGCATCCTACCAAACAATTCCACATGTTATCCTATTAATCCTCTCAATCTAAGAAGGAACTAATTTTCTCTTTTAACTGATAAGCGTATGGAAATAGCACATTCAAGTCATTGGTCTGAAGTCGCGAAATTAGTGACGGTGATAGATTTGACTACAAGTCCCAAGCTCTTAATACTAAATGTCCCTTTGCCACAAGCTTACTAACATTATTTCACAGATTTAAATATCTCCAATACAAGGAATTTTTTATTTTCTATAAGATTGTACCTATGTTTGATATTTGACATGTAGAGATATTTACTATGTAAATTTACTAAATTGAAATCCATAACTTCTCTCCCAATATACTTGTACATGAGTCTTTCTGGAGAGCAAGCACACACTATTCCATAGCTCTGAGCTCTTCCCTAAGCTTCTGTGTTTCAAACAAAGAAGTGGTCATAATTTATGAAGATGAGATAAGGTAAACCTGCAAAGTGACTGAAGAGTGAGCTCAAGAGGAAAGAAACATAGTACCGATGAGACCAAGTCATTCATTGGCCAAGATTTGGGAGGACTGTAAGCCAAGTTTTTCCTATGTTCCTTGAGCATCCTTAAGCCTAGACTGCAACTCACAGACAAGAACCAGGAAAGACTGAGTAACAAAAGTATGGGGGCTGACACGACAGTTCACCCCTCCACAGTGAAAAAAAACAAAGCTAAACCCTCAAATTGTGTGCTATGCCCAGGCAATTTAACTGCATTTTAATTATTTATGTCTTGCTTTATTCCAGAAATGATAAGCTAAACTAGATGTGGAAGAGAGAAACGAAAGAAGAAAAATATGGAAAACACCAAAAAATTGACACGGGAATGGAGTTAATACAGAAATATATAACACACACCATAAAGACCTCTATGGTCACAGAGAGTATGAGGTGGGGTACAGATTTAGCTTGAAACTGTCTGACAGCCAATAGAAGAGGAAAACCCAACCAGTGATATAATCCACAGAATCCAGAAGATAAAATGTCACTAGTCTTCATGTCAAAGGAACTGGTATTCAACAATGCCCCCACTTCCCACAAAACAATCTCTTCCAAATGTGATAAGAGTTGGAAGAGGACTGAGCTCCTCTGCACAAAAGGGAGCCGAGGTTAAGTAGAAAGAACATGAGCTTTTCCTCTACTGATGGTCCTGATCATTCTAAGAACAAAGGACACCATGTTTGTATAGTGCCAGGTAGAATCTGACCCATGATAGCCATTATTATGCAGAGGAAGATAGGATAGAAATGGAGTGGAGGAAGTGTAGGTGGAAGAGGAACAAGAAAATTAATGAAGTGATCTTGACATCTCTGTTCCTCACCCCTAAAATTGAGAAAACATTGTTGATTTCACAGGTTTAATGGGACAATTCAGTGAGATAATAGGGAAACATGCATTTTCAAAATGGGTACGATAGCTAAGCCACTGTTCCGTGATGGTGATTGCAGAACACACGTGACTGGCACTTCTTGAAGACATTCTCTCTGTGACAATGAAGAAAGCAAAATCTTCCATCCTTTGCACTCTGTCGTGTGGATATATTTATTCTCTGTTATCTAAAGGTCTTCCTTTCCACCTTCAGCCAGTCTTCCACTGGCATCCTTCATCTGGAGCCAGCTGCCCATCATACAGGGCCCAGCCCATCCCCCAGCACCTCTTCCCTTCCCTTTCTGACCAACTAGTCTCCATCAACCAGATGGTCCCTGACATAGAATGCTTTGACTTGTGATTTTTCTATTTTATGATGGTACAAAAGCAGTATGCACTCACTAAAAACCATATTGAACTGAATTTTGATCTCTTCCCAAATTAGCAATATGCAGTGTGGTCCTCCGTCCTGATGCTTGGCGATGGCAGCTAGCCACAGTCCCAGGTCAACCTCATGATAATAAAGATGAATACTGACACTCCACAGCATACTGTGTTGCTAATCCAGGATGCTCAGTAAGTTAGGTTTACTCAGTGCATTTAAGGGTAGTATTTTCAACCAAGGATAACCCCACTGTAAGTTAAGGAGCATCTATATTCCAAAACTGCCCTCTTTGTCTCTAGTAACAACATTGATAATACTCAGTGTTCTTGTCCAGACCTTGTCACTGGTCTGTAAATTTTTTGAAGGCAGAGACATGTGCCACTTTTTGTGCTGTACATGTAGGCTAGTACCAGTATTTAGAAGGAACTCCATGAACAATAAAAGTAGACTCTTAAGTACTGTGATGCTTAACTGATGACCATTCTTGCCTGAACTGAAGATGTAACATCAACACCTTCAACGGGAATTAACAAAGGCTAGAAATTATTTTTAAACTTATGCTCATTCAAGTTGCAAAGCCAAATTCCAGAAAGCTTCCCAACATAAAAACATTCATTTAGATCTAAACTTTTCTCATCTAAGCGCACTTGGACACATGCAAATAAATCATTTCAACAAACATTTATCTTGAGCTGAGTTTTTCTTCTAAGCTTTTTACAACTTTGTATAGTTCAAAAGAAATGTAATCTTCATATTATTCCTTCATTTGTTCATAAATCATTAATATGTTGTTTTGAATGAACTTTTTAAGATGAAAAAAAACACCCTCTCATTTAAGTTGTTGAAAGCAGCTTTTTTTCTTAAATATGGAGGTTATTTTTTACAGAAGAGAAACATAAATATACTTAAATACTATTGCTTCCTAATCTATACTGTTTGAAATATTTGACTAAATACATGTCTATTATTTATCTATATTTTCAGGGTGTACCTGTAATTGCAGTGAGCTATTGAAAGCCATTCAGCTAGTGAGATATCAGAACCTTCAGACAGTTTTTCAGCAAATAATGAAAGGGCATTGAATGTTTTGGTCATCTATAACAAGAAAGAGCTGTAGAATGAAAAAATAAAATTATTTGGTCTGCTCAGTGCAGCTAACACCTAACATATGACCTTTCTTCTCAGCTTTATAAATATCTTTTGCATCACAAATGGTGCCAGAATTGAATAGAGAGCCTTTAAAACAAGGCAGTGTGTAGACAATAGCTATTATCCTCGAGGACTCATCTAACTGGCTGTCAGCCAACCTTACATGTGGATACTCCTAGAAAGATAAAATATGACAGTTAATTGGTGTATGTGAAAAGAGTAAAATATCTTAAACAAAATATAGCTCATGCCAATCAAATGCTAGAGAAAGTATTTTCTCAGGAAGTCATATTGACCATATCAGACACAAGGAATCAGAATGTCTGAAATAACAGTAATGATATATTTCCTCTGGGCATGCGCTCTCTCTCTCTCTCTCTCTCTCTCTCTCTCTCTCTCTCTCTCTCTTCTCTCTCTCTCTCTGCTTCCCTCCCTACCTTTTTTCTCCTTTTCTCTTCTTTTACTGATTACTAGCTATGAACATATGCCACTCCTTCAAATACAATCAATCTGCAAGTATCCCCAAATCACTGTAATTAATACATAACAGATCTGATCTAATACATTTGTACAATAAATTCCCACATTATGTTACCTCAAATCATGTTAAACTGATCTATCTCACAGGGACATAATCTGTCAAAGATTTTAGTGGTCAAATGATTTGACTTAGGAGTTTTGTAACTATGAAGCTGTGACTTGTCCCCTGTCACATGATAATGGTTATAAGCAAAACTAGATGTGGAATTCAGATATCCTGACCCTTTCCCAGGGCTCTGTCAACTCAGCATGGTTGGATTTCTGCCTCTATGCGCATGAATCACTAGCAGGGGAGCAAAGTTGCTGCTCTGAAGAAGCCTGCTTTGAAGCCTACATGCATATACTCACTTCTTGCTAAATATTTTCTATAGTTTGCTCAGTTAAGGAACAATTTATGATGTTCCTAAACTCACTCAAAGCAAGTATAGTAAAGTATTATCAGAATGGGAGGTATAGTGGTAGAATTTCTAGAAGCAAAATAAAATACTGTTACCTAAAAGTTTGTCAACCAAACTATAAAGAGAAAGAACTAAGGTACAGTCAGAAGAATTCAAACAGTGAGCTCCCTCAGAGTATGACAGCGCACATCACAGGTTTAGGGAAGAAAATCAGTAGAGCAAGGATCTAGAAAATGAATGGTGGGAGGAAATTATAAAGATCAGAGTAGAAATTAATGCAGTGAAGGCTAAGAAACAATACAAACAATTAATGAATTGAATAGTTGGTTCTTTGAAAGAATAAATAAAATTGATAAACACCTAACCAACCTTACCAAAAAAAGAAAGAAAAACCTCAAACTCATGCAATAAAGAATGAAACAAGAGAAGTCACTACAGATCCTGTGGAAATTCAGAATATCATCAATACCTACTTCAAAAATCTTTATTCTTACAGGATGGAAAACACAGAAGAAATAGACAGATTCCTAGAAACATATGAATTACCAAAGCTGAATCAAGAAGATATAAAAATTCTGAAAAACCCAATATCAATCAATGAAATAAAAATGTAATTAAAAACTTACCAACAAAGAAAAGCTCAGGTCCTAATGAATTCACAGCTGAAATCTGCAAGAAATTTAGAAAACATTTAACACCAATACTCTCCAAACTCTGATGAAATTGAAAGGGAAACAATTCTCCCTAAATCATTCCTGGAGGCATGTATTACCATAATACCAAAACCAGGCAAAGACCCAACCAAAACAGAGAACTATACACCAATCTCCCTAATGAAAATAGACGTAAAAATCCTCAATAAAGCACTAGCAAACAGAATGCAGCAAATCATCAAGAAGGCTATACACCACTACTAAGTGAGATTCACTGCAGGAATGCAGGGATAGTTCAATATGCACAAATCAATAAATATAATACACCATATCAACAGAGCAAGAGACAAAAACCACATGATCCTCTCAACAGATGTAGAAGAAGCTTTTGATAAAATTCAAAGCTCATTGATGATAAAACCCCTACAGAAAATTGGTATAGAAGGTCTTTGCCTCAGTCTAATAAAAGTCATTTATGACAAACCAACAGCCAACATACTAAATGGACAAAAGCTGAAAGCTGTCATGTAAAATCAGGAACAAGACAAGGATATCCAATTTCACCACTGCACTCCTATTCAATATCATTCTGGAAACATTATCCAGAGCAATTAGACAAGAAACAGAAATAAAAGAACTAAGGATAGTAAAGGAAAAGTGAAATTATCATTATTCATAGATGACATGATACTCTACATAGAAGATCCTAAAAACTCCACCAAAAGCCTTCTAGATTTAATGATCAAATTCAGTAGCATAGCTGGATACAAAGTCAATACTCTAAAATCAATAGCATTCCTATACACTAAAAACTCAGAGTGAAATTAGGGCAACCACACTTTCACAATAGCATCCAAAAAGTTGACTGAAATACTTAGGAATCAATCTAATAAAGAAAGTAAAAGATCTGTACATTGAAAATTATACTACTCCCAAAAAAAGATATCAAAGAGGATTTCAGAAAATTTCTTTACTCATTTCAATATTGTGAAAATGGCCATACTCCCAAAATTATTATACAGATTTAATGCAATCCCAATCAAAATACCATTAGCATACCCCACAGATCTAGAGAAAACATTCTTAAAATTCATTTGGAATCAGAAGAGACTTAGAATAGCAAATCCTGGGCAACAAAGGCAAGGCAGGAGGCATCACAATCCCAGACTTGAAATTATACTACAAAACTACTGTGATAAAACAGCATGGGACTAGAAAAAAATAGACCAGAAGATCAAAGATTAGAAGATGTAGACACAACTACAAACACACTCAGCCACCTTATCTTTGGCAAAGGAGACAAACATGTTCCCTGGAAGAAAGAAAGCCTCTTTAGCAAATGGTGCTTGAAAAACTGACTTTCCACATGCTGAAAACTACAACCACACCCATGTCTATCACCATGCACTAAACTAAAGTCAAAATAGATCAAAGATTTAAATATTAAAATAGAAACACTAAATCTACTGGAAGAGAAAGTAGGTAGAACTCTTGAAGACATAGCAGTAGGCAGAGAGTTCATGAACAGAAATCAAACTGCATGGGAAATACTTTAAAGAATCAACAACTAGAACCTCATCTTATTGAAAAGTTTTTACACATCAAAAGAAATTACCATCAGTGTGAAAAGAAAACCCACAAATTGGGAAAAAATTTTAGCCAACAATTCCTCAGACAAGGAACTTCTATCTACAATATATAATGCATTTAAAAAATCAGGCCTCCAAAATTGAAACGCCCAATCCAAAAATGCACATCTGAGATAAATACAAACTTCTCAAATAAAAAAATACAAATGGAAACTGATACATGATAAATTGTTCAATATCACTGGTCATTCAAGAAATGCAAATCAAAGAATGGCTATCATCAAGAAATCAACCCATAACAAAGGCTGGAGGGCTGTTTGAAAAAAGGAACCCTTCTCCACTGTTGGTGGGAGTGTAGACTGGTGCAACCACTGTGGAAATCAGTGTGGAGATTCCTCAAAAACCTAGGATTACAGGTCACATTTGACCCAGCTATTCCCCTTCTGGATATTTTTCCAGAAGAACTGAAAACATTATACCACAGCAATATATGTACACCCATGTTTATAGCAGCACAATTTGTAATAGTTAAATCTTGGAAACTACCCAAATGCCCACTAACTGAGGAATGGATAAAAAAAGATGTGGTCTTTTTATACAAGGGAGTACTACTCAGCTATAAAGAAAGATAAACTCAAGGCTTTTATAAATAAATTGGTGCAACTAGAGACCATACTCATAAGTGAAATAAATCAGACTTGCATGTGTAAACAACATATTATCTACCTAGTGTAAGAAACTGAAAGAGTAAATAAGATCCAAAAGGTACAATAGGTATTGTGAGAGGGAAATAAACTGCTCAGAAGAAAAAAACAACTAGGATGGGGGAAAGGAGAAAAGAAGGAAGGGGAAATATATATAT